ATGCATACCTATTACCAGAAAAGAAATTATCCTGATTAGCTTAAATGAGTCAGGATTTTCTCCTGGGTGAGGAAATTATACAAACTTGAAATTGTTAGGATAAAGGGGTAATTGTGTTCTGTTGGTATAATCTATTCTACTCTGAACTTCAAATAAAAAAAAAGAAAGCACAAAACTACAAACTTCAGTGAAAGAAAGGAGGTAAATACTAGGTACAAAAGTAATTTAAAAAGCAGTCCTCAGATCTGTGGCACCCACAGTTGGGAGATGTGCTGTAAAGGAACATTTCTGAAGGTGAAGGAAATGTTCTATATTTTGACTGTTTTATATTCATTCTTCAAATCTCAATCAACAAGGTTGAATAGATGTGATAAAATTGTTGGGATTTTTTTTTTTAAAGATTCAGGACTTCAAGAGAATACAGTCCCTCTTTCAAGAGTCTACTCTAACATTATCAAACAGGCCTTTCCTGACTCCCTCATAAATAATCTCTGTGCTATATTTTTTGGTTTTCTTTTTTTTTGGTACCTGGGATTGAACTCCAGCCCTTGTGTTTGCAAGGCAGGCAGTGGAACCACTGAGCTAAATCCCCAGCCCATCTATGCTACATTTTGAGACACACACCCAATTAAAAATCTGTATCTTAAAAAAAAAATCTGTATCCATTAAATTTTTCATTATTATATTCCCTCAAATAGGTAAATATAATAAATTCACATTTTCTTTAAATTCTTCATATGACACAACATAGACTCTATTATTCTTTAGATCACTGAAGATTCCTAACATCCATGAAATAAAGGCAATCCTTGCTACCTAAATTATAAATTATATGATATTCAAATGATGGCTGCTATTCTCTAAATATAAAAGTTTTCTCAATGGCTTGCTAAATCCAATCAAAATGACTATCAGAGAAACACTAAGAATATTTTTTGCAAATACTAACCTCTGAGGACTCATTATTCATTTCCATATTAGAAGAAAGGAAATAAAGTAAATACAAAAGCAATATTCAAAGGCAAAATACAACATATCACTCAGGGAGCAATGTCCCCAGTGCCCTGCCATCACATGAGTATTTAGCTTAAGGAATAGACTGAGTGAAAGAGCAGATAACAAATAATTCTTTCAGGAACCTGATCTGTGGTACTTCCATCTGGGAGATTTGCTATAAAGGGCTATTTCCAGAGGTAAAGAAAGTGTGAAAGAAAACTCTCAGAATTTTATCATTACTCTTCTCTCTAAATATCTTAATGACTATTATTTATGAGTCTAAATAGAAATTCTAATATGTAGATTTTATACGACAAATTCTCAAATACATTCTGGGTTCCTGAAGCTAATCTAAATCTATTTAGGGAACATTTCAAATTGTGGTTTCTTCTATGCAGACTATTGAGAGCCATGAGATGGTGGCCTTCTTGAAATAGTCAGTCAACTATGCACAGTATATATATTTTTAGCTGATGTTATTAATGCATCTAATCAGTTTAAGTAGGAGAGATTATTCCAGATAATATGAGTGTGCATGACTCAATTATTTAGAGTGTGTTGGAAATAGGACTGAGGTCCCCCAGGAGGTTCTTATACTGTTCCACCCTGCTCATACTCTTCCCTTCCTAACAGTCAGCCACAGGATTTCAGACTTGCTTAGCTAGCAAGTGTGAAATACAACTTCTCGTAATAATCTTAATATGAATGTATGTTCATGCGTATATGTATTCTATTAGCTCTGTCTCTCTTGTTACAGTCTGAAGCCTAACTGATATACACCACAGTAAGGAATGCCAATTCAGAAATAATTAGACTTAATTAGGAAAAATAGTTTCTATTTATAAGTGTGCTCACCTAACCCTCTTTTTAAATTATAGTAGATCAAGGAGTGATATAACACTAAATTAAGACAGTGGCATAATACTAAACCATCTTCTAGTAGAAACTACTATTTTATGTAAGACCCAATGTTTATTACTGGAAGGACGATTAATTTATTTCTCTAGGCCGCAAAAAAGTCAGTCTGGAAAATTTTATTGGTGTACTCTACATCCTTTTTTTTTTTTCTTTTGGTACCGGGGATCAAAAAACCTTTTAATAAAGTAGAGATTCTTACTATAACTATGATAAGACAGAAAGAATAAGAAATTTCTCCTGTGTAAAGACTAAGTTTATTTTTATTTTTGCACTTAAAAGATTGCTGAGTGCTATTTAGAAATTAACTCTACATGCTGAAGTATAGAATACTTAATAGATGCAGTGCAACTCGATATATAACCAGCTCTTCTTTACTTCTGATCAAGCAAAATTCCCAGCAAGCCCCAGCAGTAGCAAAAGCAGCAGCCAGCAATTTATTGCAGTATAAAACTGTAGCTTTACATAACACTTACTTTCCCAGGAAGTCCCAAACAAACCCCCCTGATGATGCAGGGACAGAAACCTGTTGTGGCGGGCACAATTTGCAGGAGACTTGCTCTCTGAGAAACAGCATTGCCAAGGGCAAAGGTGGTACACATATAAACATAAAGACATCAAAACCTCAATAGAACAGGACCATGACAAGACAAATCAAAAGGTGATGAAACTCAAAATGATAAATTATTGACAGACATCCACACATAGAAAACAGTAGAATAGCAACACAAGAAGCAAATTGTTAGTAAGATACACAGCAGCCGCATACATGCACCTCAGTACTAAATATGAGGGGGAAAAAAAGTATGATATAATCTCAGCTATCTTTAGCATAGAATACACTCATTACCTCCTAGAATAAGCATAGCTCAATTTATAAAAAAGGGTATTCAAGGGCTAAGTGAAATGAAAATCTACCTTAGTTTCTAAGCAAACTATGATACAGCATATAGCCACTTTTGCTTAAGAAACTGTGTCAAATTGAGCAAAAAACTCTCATACAGGTAAGGAGTGTTCAAATAATAGTTTCCACTAAGTCTAAAATGAACATAACTAATTTTGGTAGTAGAGATTTTAAAATCCCATCCTATTAACTCTGGCTCAATTACTGTGTAATTTCAGGCATAATTTCTCTGGCTTCTGTTTTCCTCTTCTATAAAACACTGTGGCAGACCTCTTTCACAAATTATGATTCTATTGTATATTCAACATCTCAAACTACATTGCTTAGTAACGAATTACAAAGCTGACAGCAAAAACTGAGTTAAAAAAGCTTGGGTTTGCTTTTAGATTTGGGTTTTATAATCAAGAAACTTTGTTAAATCCTGAAACAATATTATAATGCTGTAGGATCGGAGGATAAAACTGTATAGAGTCACTTTGAATGTATAAAAAGCTATATTCTGTGAAAGAATAGATCATTTATAACTTCCTTAAATGCCAAACTGCTACAGTATTTGGTGTGCTTTGGATAAAAGCTATTTAGATATAGTAGGCATACTCCTATTTCTTATTCTCCATCATATCACATCTATTTCCAAAGAGAGTACTGGGGCCAAAAATGAATAAAAAAAGTTTCTCAAACAAGCTGCACAGAATATCAGGCCATAATTTCAAATGTAGACTTCTAATATTTTTTTTTTAAAGCCTAAAAACTGAAACTTTCTCAAGGAAATGCTTTTCTGAAATACACTTAGTAGGATATCAGTAATTAATCAAAAGTTTCATATTTACATAGCACTGCTGCTGATTTTCTGACCAAATAAAAGCAAAGAGAGGGCCAGGGATTTAGCTCAGTGGTGCTGCCACTTGCCTTGCCACCTGAGTTCAATCCCTGGTACCGCAAACAAACAAAAAAAAAGCAAAGAGAGGTATATATTATTTTAAGGATATAAGGAAGAATGTGCATGCCAGGCAAAGGACACAATGTAAGGAATAAGACAAAAAAATACATGTAATCTATAATCTTGATGTTTTGCTAACTTAAAATTCTGATTTATAGAATTTTATCCATTTTTTAAATCTGAAACTGGGGAATATGAATACATTGTTAACCCTATATAAAAACAAGGAAATGTGAGCAGATAATGAACCTGTTTTACATACTTTCAGTACAGTGAAGAACCATGAGAGTTTTGGTTTCTTGAAACCAAAATCCTATGGGTACAGAATAACAGGAAATGATAACTTTAAAAGAAAATATCATGTCTATCAGAAACCCCTAAAATTAAAAAAAATAGTGAACAAATTATGGGAGTAGCCTACTACTTCCAAACCTTCAAGAGAACAATAAATGATTTCTAAGAATCAATGCGCAAGGAACCACAAAGATAAATGACTATTTTCTGTCAGTCTTTCTAGAAAACATGGGTAATTAATGAAGTTCTAATGGAAAAGCTTTCTCTATGCACTTTTAAGTTTGCGTTAAATGGCATAAAAGAAGTTTAGATACATATCCTTGACATTTAGCATAAATAATAAAAAATGACAAAATTGTAAGACAGCTATCTGGCAGGATCTACCCAAATACAGCCTGCTCTGAATAATTCAAATTCAGAGCCACATAAAAATCACATTTGAGCCTCCTACATTATCCTTAAATGTCCCTCTTTCTTCTAATTTTGATTTATGTGCTGATGTAATAGCTTGTTTTTCCACATTATGAATTATAAAGCAAAAAACTTTATAGCCCAAAAAGAGTATCAGATGGTCAGCAAAAGAGATCTAGTCTAAACCATTATTACTTCTGTAAACTTGAGGACAATTACTCTTTATACACAAAAATAAATAATAAAAAGGCAAGTGGCTATTTGTATTCTCTATGAGCCAGTAGAAAATGTTTATTTCTTAATTAATACTTTCTTTTTTTCAATAATGCTGAAGTCTGCTGTTTTTCAATTTATTCCATTCTATATTTAGAGAATAAAACAAAGAATTTACACTGGTAATACAGAAATAGCAGGCATTCATGAACTTAAACTCAGAGGAAGATAATGCTAAAATTACTGTATCCTCAAAAATACATAGTTTTAATACCATACCTTAATTTTAGTAACCCAGAGAACCTCGTGCAGCTTTTCTTTCCTTACCTTTCCAACTCAGCTATCTTCTTATCTTTATCATTCTTCTCATTTTCTACCTCCTTCAAGATTTCCAATAGACGATCAACCTCTGACTGGGCCTTGCTGGATTCATCTTTGTACCTAGAAATCTCTCTCTCCAATTGCTGTATTCGGTCACTCATCTCTGGACTCGCTCTGGCTTCCAATGTTGCTTCATGTGCCTACAAGAAAAAGTGTTCAAAGTCCACCAGATACACATACAGTGGCAGTGAGCAATCCATGACCTAATGAACTATTTATATTACTATTTAAATAGCTATTATCAAATGTCTAATAGCTAATCTTTGATTTATAAGGGTTTTCTTTACTTAAGGATCATTCAGACAAGATCAGGAATAAATGTTGAATTATATTACAAATGAATTTGTTTTTTAAAATATTATATAGTTAAATATTATTAGCCAAAAATCATCAGAAGTTAGTGGAGGCTTTAGAGTTTTGTGAGATATACTGACAAGCCACTGACAAGTCCACCACTGATCTTGCTAAGATAGTATCAAAAGACACCACCAGATTCACTGATCTTACTACAGCTGGTAGTAATGCAAAGGCCTAATTCACAATAGACTCGCTGCCATTTCCATCCCTTATAAAGTAGGCTTCTTTATCAAATGCGTGAAGCATATTATCAACAACAAATAGAATAACACAGATACTGTAAATATGATGATATGAAAGCACAACTGGGTTAAGGAAATGGCTAACACCACACAAGTAACTCCAAAAAACAAGGGTTCAAACTTTCACAAGACAAACAAATGGAGTAAGAAATCAAGAAACATACTTAAAACAATGAAAAAAATTTTATTTAGAATCCTTTTGTAAAAGGAATCTAAAATCACAGATATGGGAGGAGGGGGTGAAGGGAGGGCAGGGGTAAGGGGAAAAAATGAGAATCAAGACTTGTCATGTAGAGGTACAAGATCACAACAATGAATGTAACTGTACTGTATCCCTAAAATGTACCAATAAACTCAATTAAAGCTGAAAAAAAAAAGAAATTAAAATCACAGATATGTTAGAATACAAAGCAATTTCAACAATTTAAAACTAATTTTTAACTTTTTAATTTTCCTCCTGAAACTCTAAAGCCATGCATATATAATGTATTTAATAAGAGGGAAAATCTAAGATATCAGATTTTTTCCTTCTTGAACAAGCAACAAAACATAATAAACGCCTAAATTTTTTTGCAAGAAATACTAAAAGGTTAAAGATATATTTTAGGAAATACTTCAAAAAACTCTGATGCAAAGCACCCTGAGTAAATAGAAATCATTTATATAAACTGACCTAAATGCTTTGCGAAAGTAATAACTATACTTTTAAGATTAAATGTTTCTACCAAGTCACTTTCTTTAAAACTTCATTCCTGGTGGGGGAAAAATTTATCTCTCTTTAATACTGGCTTTCCTAACCATGAACTTACTTGTGAAATATGTATGAAGAAACAAAAACTATGCAAGTTTGGAAGGTAAAAAGAGATCATCACTCTGTACTGTTGTCCAACGTCTAAAATCAGCTATTGCACACTGTTTTGCCAGTTTTGGAATTAAAGATAGGAGGTAAGTTCTGGTGCCAGTTAATATTTCATGGGAAGGAGAATGCTATAGACAATTTTTTAAAACAGTATGTCTAACAGAAAAGGAGGAAAAACAGTATGAGGAATAATGAGAGCAGGAGCTACTTTATAGAAAGCTGACCATATTTATATACCAAGCTGGGAAAAAAAGTATAAAAAGAAAGATACTGAAGGTGGAAACAAAAGCAGGAATAGATGAGAAATCTCCAATATCCACAAAGAAAAGAGGTGATGAAGGAGGCAACAAAAGGCTTAAAAGTAAGGGACACAAAAAACAACTATGTAACAAACCTGAAAGCAGCTGCTATTCAATAACTGCCAGTGAGATAACCCTGATTTACAATTTGTTACACATGAATTTTTTATAATTCTACAAATATAACTACTGTTCATTAGTGTCCTAGGCATTCATACATGCCAGTGTGTCTCACCTTGGTATGAGGAGGTTTACTGCAACCCTACCCTACCCTGGTGCTCTCTAATGCGCACTTCCATCACACCCTTTGATTTGCTACAATCTCCTACCTGTGAATCTACTTTTCCGAAGACTACACATACCATGAGATAAAGAGACAGGTTTGTCCTATTTGCCACTATATCCTCAGTGTCCACCCATGCTAATCCACAGAATAGAAACTCAACTATTTCTTGGACAAATACATATGCACAAAGCAGTGGGATAGTTAAATTGAAAACAGACCATAAAACTTAAATAGTTTGGAAAAAAGAATAACTTAAAGAGGAGGAAAATTACCAGTATATATAAGTGCAAGTTTAAATGTAGCCCACTAGATCATCCAGAGTATCAAATGACAAACTTTAAGGATAAATCAAGTTAGAAAGAAATCAAAGATATTATGAACTTTCTCTTACTAATTGTACAACAAATTCTATACCACAGAAGTGTACATCTATTCTTTGGGCTCTAACATGAAATTCTATGAATATTAAGCCATTTAAATATCTTTGCAAGTTTATAAAAATAGTATAAACTTGGGTCAGGGATTTAGATCAGTGGTTCTGCTGCCTGCCTCGCAAGTACCAGGTTCCAAGTTCGATCCCCAGTACCAGAATAATAATAAGAAGAACTCTAAAAAAGAGGTATTTTCCAAATCACTGTTATAAACATTCCTTTAAAATTTCTAAATAGTGAAATGACAATTAACTCAAGATGTAAGTCTGTCTTGCCTCAATATAAAACATGCTATAACATCAATATGAAAGAAATTTTCTAGAGGTATTAAATTTCATGGCTGAATTTTCCTGTTTTTCTACCCCTTAAATATTAATTGTCCATTAATCTGAGGTTTGCTTTTAGAGTATCAGGAAGTCAAAGCCATTCAGAAGCAAAAACTGCAACTTAAATAATTACAGTATCTGTATAAAATGCCATATCTGGACATAAAAATGTGACTAACAATCCATGATACTCCTTAAAATACTTTTTCTAAAAAGGCTAAGCTTTCCAACCTTAGGAGCTGCTCTATGAGAAACTGTCCACTTTCTACATTATTAAAATTTCAATACACATACATTGAAGGCAAGGATTTTGTTTTTGTGCATTTCATATTTGTCACACTAAGACATAAACAATTATAGAATGCCAATTAATCTTATCTGTGTACACATCATTTTCACATTATATTTAATGAGAAAGGAAAAACTAAGATGGAATCTTAATAAGCAATAAAACCCATCTTGTCTCTTAAAATGATTTTTAAAATACATTAAAGGAATAAATACGTATACTGAAGAAAACTGATGCAAAATACATTGACAAAAGAGAGAGTTCACGTAAATTGGGCTAAAGGCTTTATGGAAACAATAGCAATATTTTCAAGATTAAGTCCCTTAACAATTTCTTCTGTCTCAGGTTTAATCTGGTGAAAAGATAGGTAATAAGCATGGCCTTTTAAGGAGATTCGTTGGTAGGCATGGATTTTAAGTGTGTTGGCAAAATTCTACCCTAAATTAGTATAGTTTAAAAAATACAACATGGTAAAATCAAAAGGAAAGAGAAGAAGCAACCAATGAATTAATAAACAAAGCAAACAGAAAAAATGCAAATCTCTTACAATGTTTGGGGGAGAATTTTGATTTTATAGAAACTTTCTTCCTTTTATTCACCCCAAAATATTTCAGGAGTCGACAAAAAAATCTAGGCATTTGAGAAGAGACAGAAGAAGGGGTCAGGGAGTTTTCCTTTCTTTTTTTTTTCCTGCAAGACCTTGTGCTTATGAAGCAGGCAGCAGAACCACTGAGCTAAATCCCCATCCCAGTTTTACTTTTTGTAATTTAAAAAAGTCTTTGTTGCCTAGAATTGCTTTTGCTATTCTAGGTCTCTTCTGGTTCCAAATGAATTTTTGGGTTGTTTTCTCAAGTTCTATGAAATATGCTGTTGGAATTAAAATTGGGATTGCACTGAATCTATATAGCAGTTTTGGAAGTACAGCCATTCTATGTTGGTTCTTCCTACCCAGGAGGAAGGGATGTCTTTCCATTTTCTGATATTCTCTTCAAAAGTATCTCATGCAAAGATATAGAAGAATATACGAACCAGCCTTTATGATACCTTGTAGAGAAGTGACTCATTGGCTTAAATAAGTGGCTAAACATGATTTCAGGATACTATGGGTAGTTAGAAAAGTTGGAGAAGAGAAGAAAAAGTAGAAGAAAATGGTTTATGTATAAGATAAGCAAGCAATGAATGGTAAAAGGTCAGAAAGAAGTTATTTTAAAAGCTCATGTAAAAAACAAGAGTCTAGAAACAGATATTTAAAAGTATTTAGCATTTTTAAAAATTCTCATGATTCAAAGATTGAGTTTGTACCTTCTCCTTAATAATCTTGAGGGTTAACAGCTCATGTTGAAGAAACATATACCAAAATTCTGGTGTAGGATATGAAATGTTATGACATAAATGGGTCAAAAAAGACTTCAATTATCTTCACTACCTCAAGGCCAGTAATTCCCAACTTTCAAAATTTCAGTGTTAAGAATATCCTTTTGAATAAATATAAATTAGAACACTAACCTTGTACTACTAATGATTTTCAGGAGGAAAAAACATGTCAAATAATATCTATAGATTTGTACTATTATCTACAAATAAGCTATAAACCAAAAAAAGTCAACTAATAGAGGAAAGAGAACAAAATTTTAGGTGTAGTAAGTTGCTAAAAATACTTGCAGGGCGTGGGGGTGAGAACACACAGGTAAAGAAAGGGAGTAAATGAAGATATGGTGGCACGCTCCTAGAGGCTGAAGGCTTGTGAAGCACAGCAGGACCCCAGCTCTGTGTGTATGAGAGAAAGAGGGAGGGATGGAAGGAGGGAGAACAATAATCCAACCTTCTTGGAGTAGGGCATAAGTAGTTTAATACAAAAATATCAGCAATGAATCTAAATGAAAAGGTATAAATGTCTAGAATAAAACACAAGAAAATATGAGAAATGACTAGAAGCATAATAAAGCAGCAACCCGCCTCTTCAATATTTTTATCATAAATCTAAATATAAAGGCTTAAATATGAGACCACCTAAGTGATTACAAAAGTATCAAGTTACAGATTTGAAATAAACTATAGAAAAAGAATGTGAGATTGTCATATGAAGGGGAGTTTAAAAATTAACATTACACCTGATAGTGTAATTACCTTTTAAGATTTATAATTCTAAATATATCCTGACAATGTCATCTTCAATATTTACATATGAAATAGAAAATTACTTCCACCGTTCTAGTGAAGAACAAAAACAGAGGCAACTATAAAATTGGAACTCTTATAACTGGAATCCTTGGCCAGGTGTGGTGGTGCACGCCTGTAATCCCAGCACTTGGGAGGCTGAGGCAGGAGGATCGCTGTGAGTTCAAGACCAGCCTGGGCTACATAGTGAGTTCCAGGTCAGTCTCAACTACACAGTCTCAAAAAAACAAAACAAAATAACTGGAATCCTTAATCTCAAAGTCACTTTTAGGATACTGATCTTCCTATCCTTAGCTTTTAGAACATGACTTTATTTTTTGACACTCTAAATGAATGGCAAATAATATGGAAAGAACAGAACTAGAAGTTTCAGGATAAGGCTCTAGCTCTTATTAATCAGTGGGCATATGAACAGGATTCAGTTAGCATAGTCCCTCAATAATTTATAGAGAGAAAGCACTATGAAAACTATGAACTGCTATATAAACACCTGATGAATACAAAGCAAAGGAATAGACAGTAAATATCTATGTTATACATAATATTTAACAGTATTAATAACTATTACTGCTAAATTGTCTCCTTCCAGGAACTTTGATTTTACACAAAGAAAAATATCAGACACAGATTTTGAAATTGTGGTCTCACATTTCACCCGTTATGTGTATTTAATCTTCATCTAACCTGTAAATTTTCTAAGAGATTGGGAATTCTAATGAATAAAATAAGGTATAAATGGTATTTCAACAACTCTATTGATAAGTTATTCCATATAAACACCCTGCAGCTGGGCATGCCAGTGCACATACTATCAGTATTCAGGAGGGTAAGGCAGGAGGACTGGAAGTTTGAGGCTAGCCTGGGCTACACAGCAAGATCCTACCTCAAAAAACAAAACAACTGCACAGTGCCTGCCTTGTAATCCCTGGTACCCACCCTTCCCCCAAAAAACCTACTCTAAAGCTACCTCCTGTGTTCTTATTTAAACAAAACAAATGGGAAAAATTTCTCGAACCTTTTTCAACTGCAATTCTATTTTCAGACATTCTTCTTTCTTCTGTTCCAGAGCAATCTCTAGTGTCTTAAGCCTTGAGTCTTTTTTCAGTCCTGATGAAGCCAGAGAAGAAGCATGCTCTTTCAGATCCAAGAGTGAAGCCTAAAAGAAGGATGACACAACCTAACTAAATACTAAATGAAATAAAATGTAATTTATAATTTTAAATTTATTATCATGGTGGCTAGTAGTTTCTTTTCATTTCAAGAACATTCTTCAACTAGAAAAAACTATTAACTTTAGCTTGGGGGCGTTGAATTCAGGGCCTTGAGCTTGCCAGGTAGGCCCTACACTGCTGAGCTACAACCCTACTCCAGCTTTAGATTTCAAGTACAAATTAAAATAACATAGATAAGAAAATTTACATGTCTGCTAATAGCAATAAACACCTTCACCAGGCACACAGGAAAACTGAAATACTTTTACCAGTAATTACTGCATTTTACTCATCAAGTCCCATAAATGCATGTAATATCTGACACATGACTGTTTTGATTTTACTGTGTGTGGTACGTGCAAGAGGCAGGTTTAGCACTTCATTGTCCCTGCCATATGCCACATTTCTGTTGTCACACAGTCCATGCTTAAGCACAATTAAATAAAGAAAAAATGGTAAAAATCACACAATAATGTTAAAAGTTCATGATCTTATGGGGACACATTACTAGCTCTCTAAGGCCATGTACAGACTGCAAATTACTGGCAGGACACATTTATCTTAAGGAATTCACCATAACCCTGCTATAAGACATTACGGAAATCTTCCATCTAATGTTTTTATATGCATTATGCAAACAGCAACTATATATATACACAACACAATGACTAAGCAAACCAAATAATTTCGTTTTGGTGATCTTAACCTCTTTCTCTGAGAGATCGCCTTGCAATACGCTGACTTTTTCCTTCAGGTCTTTAAGATCCTTTTTATAGTTATCAATTTCTTCTTGCTTCTCTCGCTCATCTCTGTCCCTCTGTTCCTTTAAGCGTTCAATTGTCCGCTCCTGATAAGAAAAGACATCAACATATAAACAAACTCCTTGTTGTACTTAAATGATTTTAATGCTGCTTTCAGTTGATAAAATGCTATTTTCTATTCAAAAGACAATGATATATTTTTAAAAGAATTTACTTTTAAAGAATTTGTCTTTCTTACCTACCTTGCTATTTATTTTAATAAAGAACTAGATTTGTTTCTTTTGAATATCAAAGTTTCTTTCCTTAGAGTCTCAAATATTATTAGATAAGACTACAGTATTCACAGGATATTCCTATTTAATTCCCAAGTAATCAAAAAACATACATATACATACATACATAAGTATAAATACACACACATACACACAGCCTTAGGACAGTAACTAACAAATATTTCTTCTTTATAATTCATACAACTGCCAATAAGACAACAGAAATAACTCACAAATCACCCATGGGGGGGATGAAGATTTGATATACTGAGCTAAAAGTATAAAGGAGAGTAGTAAAGAAAAATCATTAAAGCTGCTTTCAGTCAAGAGATACTCAGGAAATTTAAAAGCTGAAACTATTTAAGTATGTTTTGAGTACTATTTTTAAATATATTCAGGGAGCAAGCCTTGATCTTGGTAGGCAGCTGAAAGTATTCTGAGGCCAAGAGAGTTAAGGAACACTGACCCCATTCCTTATTTTTTTAAAAAAATCCATTTAAAATGTCTCAAGAAGAAAAAAAAAAAAAAAAAAGATCCAACTTAAATGTTCCAAGAAGATTCTCTTTCCCACCTTCTAAGGTAGTAACAATGGTCAGTTTATGCCATTTCTTCAGTCAACCATTCCTAAAAAAACAGGTTTGCTTATAAAGGCAAAGTAAGTAGAAAATTAGCAACAAATTAAATTAGTGAATAAAATCCATGATTATATTAGGTATCAAAGTGGAATACTGTGTGTGTAGGGTAAAGCAGAGCTAACTATATATTGCCTGACAACTATATCTTCTATTCCTATATCCTCACAGTCTAGTTGGCCAAACATTTCTTTTTCATCAGAAAACAGCAAATAAAGAATATATGGCTGATCCTTTAGAAAATTCAGCACTGCCCGCTGGTGTGGAATCCATCTTCCCTAAGAGCAGGTGCTTAAATTGGCAACCATTAAACAGATTTTTTTTCCTCTTTATATTATGTATGTCAGCAATAGCACAAAAGAGCTCTTTTTTCTCTTGTCCAAAGGGATTTCTTCTGTATTCTATGTGAGATTGTTTTTTGGATTTGTTTTTTGAGACAGTGCCCAGGCAGGCCTCAAACTCACAAGGATCCTCCTGCTCCAGCCTCCCCAGTGCTGGGATTATAGGCGTGTGCCACCACACCCAGCACAGTTTTAGGTTAATGAGAGAGTAGAAGCAAAATATCTGCACAGAGCTCAGGCCAATTACTCACTTTCTCAGCAAGGGCCTCCTCCAGAGTCGTCAGGGCAGTATCAGTGTTGGTAGTGTCAGCCTGCAGGGATTTGACTCGTTCTTTCAAGCTGCTCATCTGCTTCTCCTTATCTCTAAGCTGCTCTTGAAGATTTTCAATCTGAGAGTGCACATATGATTAAAATAGATATTAATAAAATGAAAACAGTCACAATAAAAACTCATTTTAAGTCATTCTCTTATGCATTTTAAGCCATTGTCGACACAAGTTGTGTCTGCGTGTGTATTCAGTGGAGATAATTTAATCCTAAGAGTTTCGGAATTACACATAAAACTAGAATTCATAGCTACAATGGACAAAAGTCATACAAATTGATATCAACATATACATATAAACCTGGATCCCTAATCAAAGAAGGAAAATAGCTAGGAGAAAGACCCAGTGTAGATGTGGGAACACAGAGAGGGAATGCAGAGCTAACTCAGGAAGAGAGATTACTTCTAAAATGACACTGTAAATGCCAAGAGCATACCTCCATAATCAAGGGAGAGATGTAGAAATAAAGATAGGTAGAAAGAACTCATAGAACTCACTTTTTTGTCTTTCTTACTACTTTAAAACTCTGGGTTAGTTTTCTGTTCAACTCTGCACAGACATGCTAATCACTCAGACCATGTCCAGAAAATTATGAGGTTTCTTGGACCTAAATTTACCTTGTGTATCTCCATTTCCTTTCAAAACTGAGGACACCAAGATTAACTAATTTCCAAGGTTTCCAGGGACACTCAATTGCTAGCTTTCACAACATCCAGTTCCAGAACCCCTCTGGAACAATGCCTAGAAGTCTTTAACATGCAATCACTTGAGTTCCAGGAAAAGTAGAGCCTCCTAGACAACCCCAAAATGAGATCACCTCCGCCCAAGCAGGAGCACATACCTCATAACTAACTAAGGCAGATGTCTCCCAACCAAGCAGGAACAAATCTCATGGGAACCAAATTGCTCCTCAAGCTCTAAGGATTGCTCGGGAACTATGGAAACTAAAACTGATACATTGATCAATCACACCCTGGCCCAATTCAACTAATCCTTAAAGGCTGGTCTCATGCTTTGTAAGCAAACCAGTCTGAGCCCCTGCATCAGGGTGGGACTCTTCCCATCACTCTAGCTGATGTCTTTTTCCTATTCTCCCTTCCTTTTAACTATGTTTATAACCCTTTCTTTGCTTCACAATGATGGTCCTGAAGTTTTTTCCATGATATAAGTCCCTATTTAACAGGCTGGACTGAGGTTTCCATCTTCTATTTGGAAGACCTCCTCAGACCTCCTCTGGTAACAAGGAAACAGAATAGAACAGCCAAACCACAAAAAATCAGCTGTATAATTCTTAAATTATAGTATTAAGTTAGATGTTATTTGATTTCTAAATAGCAAACATTTTCAATGAAATTTCTCATTGCCACCATTCTTTTATACAGACTTACATGCACGTACTTACACAAAAAGCATTTACTAAGTTCACAGTTCTGTGCCAGGTATAGTTATAGAAAGAAGAATGAACAGAACTATTTTTATTTTATGATGAGATGGTAAAAGAGTTGCATATTATATAACTGAAGTCAAGCTATAGATAAGCCAAGCCTCCTAAGGACAGATTTTACTCTAGACAGATGGGAAGTAGTAGATATTTTTAACCATAGAACGGGGCTAGCCATTTTATTTAGGTGGTTCTGGTAGCTACTGTTATCATTTATATCTACATATATCCCTATAACCTCATGTGCTCAGAGTTTGGAATTTTGAGGAGTGATTGGGTCATGGGGGTGTGCTACTTATCAGTTGGTGAGTTTATAGCTAAATGTGATGTTGGGGAGTGAAGTCTGGACAGAGGTGGGTCACTGCAGGTGAGGCCTGGAAGAATATATCTCCCTCCCTCCTTCCTTGATTGTTCTCTGCTTCATGCCACCATGCCAGGAGCTCTTTCGCCTCTGCTATGCCCTTCTACCATGCGTCCTGCCTTGGAGCCCGAAGTCTATGGAATGAACCTCTACAAGCTGTGTGTCAAAAATAAACATCTCCTTTAATTAAGTTGTGGGTGTCACACATTTTGTTCCAGCAACAAAGAAAATAAACCAGCTTTTGAGGGGAAATATAAAGGAACTTGTATACAGACAGAAAATAATGAGGAGGTTGTACCAGTTCATTCAAGAAATTGTGGGGACAAAAAAAAGCCTAAGAGGTATGCAAAATAGGAAATGTATCTGAGAAACACTGTGCAAGATTTCTATGGAGACTGAAGTTCACCTAAGACTTCAGGAACGGTTCTAACTTCTATAGGTAGACCTTCAGGAAAGGTTCTACATGTTCTACCACAGAGAAACACCCCTAACCCTAGGGAGATATTATTTAAAACAAAATTATAAATAAACTATTCTAAAATTTACAAAGTCCATTCACTTGATACATATTTGAATTTGAGTTCCTGCTGGCAAGCAATTTTCAAGATACTGAGGATACAGAAATAATCAAAACTAACCAAAATCCATACCTTCCAAATGATGCTTACGTTTTAGTATAACAAAGAAAGGAATGAAGGTAGTGAGTGAATGAATGAATGAATACAGAATGCAGGATGGCAATAAATTCTATGAAAAACAATGAAGAAGATATACTCACATCCTCCTCTGGAGCCACTACTAGAACAAACTAGTTTATTTTACACGGTGTACAAAATCCAACATAAATGATACCTTGTTTGGGAAGACTTTCTCTCTTCTTACCACAATGAGAAAAAGATGATCACTGTTTATAGTCCATTGCGCACACACACACACACACACACACGTTATAGAGTGCACATCTCCAACTTCCATAAAAGAATATCCCAGACAAGACAATAAAGTCAACAAAGCTCAAAAGTCTGATGGAATAACTGTAACAATTAAGACAATAGTTAACCTAGTTGGGGGTGGGGTAAACAACAGAAAAATAACACAATGACAGAAATAAGTCAATATTTTCAGTAATAACTACTGATATAAATGGCCTCAGTTAAAAGACAGATTGGAAGGCCAGAACAGAAAACAAAAACAATGGTTTGCTGCATTCAAGGCATATCTAAATCCCCCCCACAAAAAAAGCTAAAAAAATGAACAGAACCCTGGAAACAACCAAGAATAGTAATTTTATTTTCAGACAAAGTAGACATTATTCTAAAATGGATTGTAAGAGGGAAATTATATATATTAGTTAAAGGCAATATTCAAAAGGGATAACATTAAAAATATATAATAAGCAATGAATACCAGTACCCTCAACTCCATAATACAAACACTACTGGACATAAAAGATCAAATAGCCCCCAACAGAAATAGGAAACCTCAATAATCCACTCTCACAAATAGATCATCTAAATAAAAAATTAACAACGAAATATCAAAGTTGTGCCACACTTTCAAACAAATGGACTGAATAGATATCTATATTGATCTACCCTACTAAACCAGAATATTAATTTTTCTTAGCACCACAGAGAACTTAATCCAAAATCACAACTCATAACAGCTAAAGTTGGAAGTAGCCTCTAATATATTCACCAATAGATAAATGCATAAAGAAAATGTGGTATTTTATTCATAATGGAATACTACTCTGCAATAAAGAAGCATAATTTTGAGTCATTTGTAGAAAAATGGAAGCAATTTGAGACTATAATGTTAAGTGAAAACTTAGATACACAAGCTTAAAATCACATACTTTTATAAGTCCAAAGTATAAATAATTCAGAAAAAAACACAAAATAAAAGACAATAGGAAACAGATACATCTGTTGCAAATAGAAAGGGGTTCCAGAGTTATGTTAAGAACACATACCTACCCCCTAATATTACTGTAAATATTATATACTGCAAACGTATGAATAAAATTTTTTTTAAAAAAAGAAGCTCCATGTGACCTAGTTTTATTTCTTCTCAATATCTTCCTGAGAAAGCTAAGGACATCATATTATAGTGATACACACATATCAGTGTTTACACCAGCATGACTCATTATAGATAAATTTTGAAAGTGGCTGATATGCCCATCAACAGAAGAATGGATGAAGAAAATGTGGAGACGGGTAGGTAGGTAGGTAGGTAGGTATGGCTACATTATACTACACATCTATAGAAAAAGAAAAATTTGAGTAATTTGTATAAAAATGGATGGATCTTGAGACTATAATACTAAGTAAAATAAATCAGTAATAAATGGTGAAATACAAAATGGTTTCTCTAATATGAGTGACTGAAAACCCACATTAAAATGATATAAACAGTAAAATAAAAGAGCAACATTAAGTAACAATGAGGTGCTCTGTAAAGAAGGGAAAGTGATTTGAGGAAGGAAGGGGGCACAGATGTAATAAATGACCAGAATGTCATATGTGTATGTATCAATCCCCCAAGGTGAATATAGTCAAAGTATCTCCAACATATACTATTACTAAAATGTTTTAAATTCTTCCCTAATTAAAAGTAAAAAAATTATATTCCTTTTTTTTTTTTTTTTTTTGTGGTACCAGGGATCAAACTCAGGACTTTGTGCTTGTGAGGCAGGTAGCAGAATCAATGAGCTAAATCCCTGGCGCCCAAACTTGTATTCTAATCGAGTCAAAATTATGTTGTAAAAAGCATCACAATATAACCACTGAGTAGTCCCTGATTTATTAATACCTGAGTTGCAAAGTTTCACAGGTGTACTGTGTTAGACTCACACTTGCTGGCTCACAAACAATCTGATTTACCAACAATTCTCCCAAAACAAAACTCATTTGTAAATCAGGGACTTACTGAATAGTACACCTTAGCATTTGTACATTATATATTTATCCAAAGGCTTTATTCTCTCAAGCCCATTTCAACTGCCTCCATGATAATATTGTCAAAATAAGTTTCTACATTCCTCTACCTGAAACAACTATGATATTTAAAAACAAATCTATTTTTACCATATTAATGCAAATTTGGTCTCAACATAATATCAACATCATGTACCATGTACCACATCAAGTGACAGTTCCTCAGAAACAGGAAATTAACATATGATCTGGTAATTCTACTCTTAGGCATACATGCATGAGAAGTGAAAACATCTTTATACAAAAACCTCTAGTTGAA